GAGAGAGAAAGAGAAAAAAGGAGAGATTTACCAAAAATCCATTAAGAGTTTTATTTGCAGGTTTTACAAATTCATACGTAGTTTCTATTGACGTCAGTTATATATTTTACAATCTTCAAGCAAAGGGAGAGGGCAACACTTAAATTGAAGCACTTATAGGACACGTATCTGATATGACATTGTAACTAAATAAAAAACAAGTGCTAATATTGTTTTCCAATAATGAATGAATCTTATAAAAATAATATAAAATCCAAGAAGATAAAAGTTAGCATGCTTATTTAGTGAATTTACATTGTATGTACCTTTGGACAAGGAAGGGTCGACTGCACCCAAGAATTGAACGATTGATAATTTTAATTTAGTGCACCGTGTGAAGTCATTATCTACAAGAGACTCTCATCATTTGAAGAGATTCATCATACTAAATTTAAATGTTTTAAAATCAATTTATTACAGTGAAAACTGTCTAATCTGACACCTGAATAATCCGACTCACTGTGAAATCCGACGTCAAATTTCTTTCCCATTTTGCTATTTTCCACATTTTTAACACTGTGCAATCCGACACACTGTCTATTCTGACACAGAATTTGTCTCCCAGTGCATGTCGGATTAGACAGGTTTCACTGTATATGAATACTAATATAGGTAACTTTGATCTATTAACCATCGGACTCCAAAATTTTCAGGGTACTTCCCTGAGCCATGAGATGTTAGGATATACAAGGGCAGACATATTTGCTAATATGGTCATTATAACGACCACGTATTTACTAAATGCTAATGTGTTTATTGAAATAACTTTATTTTCAACTAATGTGTAATTAAAAAGTAGCTTGCATAAGATAAAAAAATTCATTGTAATTCGAGTACACTCTTGAAACGATTGATCATTTTAATTTAGTGCACCGTGTGAAGTCATTATCTACAAGAGATTCTCATCATTTGAAGAGATTCATCATACTAAATTTAAATGCTTTAAAATCAATTTATTATATGAATAATAAAAAAGGTAACTTTGATCTATTAACCATCGGACTCCAAAATTTTCAGGGTTCTTCCCTGAGCCATGAGATGTTAGGATATACAAGGGCAGACATATTTGCTAATATGGTCATTATAACGACCACGTATTTACTAAATGCTAATGTGTTTATTGAAATAACTTTATTTTCAACTAATGTGTAATTAAAAAGTATCTTGCATAAGATAAAAATATCATTGAAATTCGAGTATACTCTTGAAAGCAAATATAATTGGACACATAAACACAACTGGCATGTGATAGTTTATATAACTACATAACGAGGAAAGTTGACAAAGAAAAACCTTCAGTCATCTCGTTTAACATATAATGTAGTTGATTATTGACCTTTTTCTTTAGTCAGTAGAACATCCAATTTATGAAGTAGATGTGGCAGACTCTGTAGTGTCCTTTCTTTATTGGTAATTAAATTACTTTCCCTACTTTTGTATATCAGATACAGCGATTATTATTACAAATTACTATAAAAGCCAATATAAAATTAAAGGTTTTAAGACAACTCTCTAAACAAGAGAAAGTACTTACATGCATACGTTTCCTTTATTGCCCACCTATGCTATTGTGCAACGCAAAACCTTGTAAAATACATCTATCATATAAAATTATTTTCATAATGAAGAAAGTTTTTACTAAAAAATAGGGGGAAATATTATTTTTCACTAGTCTTATTTAAAATATAATATAACATACAATTTAATATCAATACGTCCAAGGCAAAGGAAGCTTCCTGATATCAGATGTCAAATAAAAAATAAAATGATCTCTTGAAGACAGGAAAAATATAAAGCTTGCGGTCAATTCTAAATCAAATCAAATTGTGAGTTCACCTTTGTTCAATTCTTTACAATATTCTTTTTTCTTTTTTCCACATTTCAGCTTTCAAATAATAATAATATTATATTTAAATAATCATTGTGGATTTTTCTTAAGCATTCACTCACTGATTCCTTCACCTCACTCACCTCGCTACAATATTATTACATATTACTGTATAGCTCTAACAAAATATTGAAAGAATTTAAAGGTCATAGGAGACAATACATTGAATAAATTTTGTTATGTTTAGAAATAAGTTCCTTTTTTTATAACTGATGGTATGTAAAAAAGTTATTCAGACGAATCTGCAAGAAAACTGACACTCCAGCACGTCAAAATCTGTCTTTGCAAAAACTTCATACAAGTATGATGACTTATCTCCCTTTGCTGATGACGTCAGGAAAGCCCACTTGACGCAATAGGCCAATGGTGGATTGTTTTACTTAATTCTAAAAACGGCCTAGTGGATATTAGATCAAAATGGTACAGTGCGTTGCTTTTAACTGTAACATAAGAAGTCAGAAAGGTGTGTCCATGTTTTTATTTCCCAAGGATCCTAAATTTAGACAGATTTGGATTCGAAATCTTCGAAGAGATCGCTTTACTGTGACAGAATTTTCCAAGCTGTGCTCCAAACATTTTACGGCGGACCAGTTTAAGATACATCCGGCCTTAGCTAAAAAGTGTGGGTATAAGAAACTAGATCTTCGGGCAGATGCAGTCCCAACGATATTCGACATTCCGAAGACAGAGAAAAAACAACGGAAATCGACTGCTTACTTCAAGCGAAGGGCGATAGAAGTAGGTATATATATTGTAGCCTACATTTGAAAACAATTTTTTAATAAAAAGTATGTTCCCAATTAAATTCTTCGATAAAAATAATAAATGCATAATAAACATTTTCCATAGAATTACGAGCCCATCAAAATAATACGTTTGTAGACACCATTTTTAAAAGAACCACAGGAGTCGGCAGTTTTATCAATAAACCAGTGAAAACATAACCTATGAGCTTCGCTTCGCTCGCTACGCTCGCCAAGCTCATAGGTTATGTTTTCACTGAGCGAAGCGAAGCTCATAGGTTATGTTTTCACTGGTTTATTGATAAATCTGCCGACCCTGTGAAAGAACAAACCCCTAGGCCTATCATACTAAGAAAATAAGTACCGTTGTGCATAGTGGGACAGTGATTTTATTATTGACAATAATTTGCTACTACATGTAGCCTATCTTACTAGTGTAAAAACAAAGTAAATATTATAAATGTATATATCACCATCGTAATAAATATACATACACGCAGAGGGAGAGAAAGAGAGAGAGAGAGATATAGCCTACATGTATGTAAAGAAATTCATAGAGCTCTTGTTTACAAGGTCCTGTTGCATATCTTTAAGGCTTTAAGAGATAATGTGGAAGATGATGCAGAATTCGAAGAAGCTGAAGTAATTGAGCAGTCTACGCTGACAGATACTACATGTAGAACCAGCGAGACCAGTACTGCCACTGCAAGCCACACTTCCCAGTCTGGTTTAATGGTAATGCACACATTATTGCATTTCTTTTCTTTTTTTTATTATTAATTTTAATATCCACTGACGGTTCAAGATGGGCAACAGGCCCCTTTTGTGAATGATATATGAAATAGGATTTAATGGGGGGGGGGGGGGGCTACAAATTTCCTGGATCTGCAACTGATATTGTTATACAGGGATTTTCCACACCATTTTGGGAATGGGGCCCAGGCCCTTACAATTGGGAATTTAACGACATTTTATCACTTTTTGGGAATTTTTATTGCATGATAATTTTCAAGAAATAAACACTTATAATGAATAAAATTGATTTTTACTTCATTATTGAGAACTATAATTCAGAGAATAGATTAATTATTATGAAGTTTTAGTCAAGTTTCCAACAAATTATGTTCATTTCATCTCTATTTCAACCTGACCATCTTTGTTTTACATGAAATTTTATCAGTTAATTTTGTGGAGTTTCAAAAATTGAACACATGCTGACCATTTTTGGGAAAAATGGAAGGAATATGCAATTGGGAATGGGGCCCATATTCGGCCCTACACGGGGTAGTGGAAAATCCCTGTTATATTTATTATATTTGAATTTTAAAAAGTTTTAAGTTCAGTAATGTTGAGAGAAATGATAGCTTGGTAAGCTCACTTTTTCATAAGTCTGGGTTTAAAATTACATACAGTAGTAATATTCAAATGTAAATTAAATTGTTCATAGTAATTGAACAATGATTTGATGTTTCATTTTTACAGGTATCTGAAGCAATAGGGATGTCAAATCAATTCAACGTGTTTACTCAGACTTCTCTTAACCACTGTGTGAGTAATTAAAATTCAAAATATTTACCAATGCTTTTTTATTAAATTTTAAAATATTTATTTATTAATAAAATGAAAATATTCAAATACATGCACAGGAACGTCAAAGTGTCATGATACAAGCATCTCCAGTAACGAAGGAAATAGGTGTACAGACAGACATCGCCTTACACAATTCTAATCATCTGGCAGTAGAATTTGATGATGATGATGACATGCCCACAGATTCTGATCATTCCGACATTGAAGACTCGGACATTGAATGGACATTCCCGGATCAGGACAGTGACGAAGGAGATATTACACCAGAGACCAAGAATGACATGAATGGGGATACCAAGTTTATAGTGTACAAGAGCTGTCTTGAACATCTTCTACCCACGCATTGCTTGAATTGTGGCATTAATATCATCAAAACTGATTATACTTGGAATGTTCTAGGTACATAATTTAATAAATGTTATAACATTTATTAATAGGGATAAATTCATACACAAATATGAAATACGTGATGTCTTCATTTGAACATTACACATTTTGTTTATAGACATATTGTTTACTGATTCTAAATCACAATAGTATGGTGTTGTAACTGATAGGATATATCTATATTTGGTATTTTATTTTAGGCACTGCTGTCAGTGTCCATTCTACGTGCAAAAAGTGCAGCATCTCCTGGGAGTGGGCGAGCCAACCTTTCTCTTGTATGATGCCTTGGGGGAACCTTATTGTTGCTGCTGCCATATTATTCAGCGGATGCAGTCCTGTTAAGGCTCTCAACTTCCTGAATTTCGCAGGCATCAGGAGTTTCAGTTACAGGACATATAATGCTCTACAACAGCTCTATCTTGTTCCAGCAATTGAGCAGGTATTGTATTACATGTATAATAGTATGCTATAGTATTTTATAATTCTACCATCATTTCTCTAATCTGGTTGGTTTAACTAATTGAAGTTATTGATCAATAGGTTTGGCAGCAGAAGCAGCAAAGTATGTTTGAGGAAATAAAAAGCAAAGACCACGCTGTAAAATTAGGTGGGGATGCCCGGTGCTGCTCTCCTGGACACACTGCAAAATTCGGCTCATACTCAGTCATGGACCTGAGCACGTCAAAAGTTTTGGATATTCAACTTGTCCAGGTATTACTTCTATACATTAAAGTTATAAATCCAGAAATTATATGCATATTAATTGCGATGAAATCAAATTTATCCTTAGTTCAATTCACAATACCATCATGCTCTCAAGTACTACATGTACATGTTCTAGTATCTGATTTCTACTCAGAGCAATGAAGTGCCAAACTCGTACCATATGGAGCTTGAAGGGCTAAAAAGGTGTTTGAGAAAGCTTCACCAGGAGGAAATACCAATATCGCACCTTGTAACAGACAGGCACAGTCAAGTTAAAGCCTACATGAAGCGTGACCAACCACAGATTGTACACATGTTTGATGTTTGGCATGTTGCTAAAGGTATATACATTATGTGTTACACATTATGATTGACCATTAAAAGTGAAAATATCAAGTTTGGGACAATATATCTCACTTTTGATCTCAGTTTCACTTTTCACTATACATTCCTTTTGTTAAAGTGAGACTTGGATCAATGGTGAGCTCATCTAGCTTTTATGGCCCAGCTAGGAGCTATAAAAGTACATGTATTAAATATATGTAACACAAATATCAGAGCATGTGTTGATATAAAAGAAAAAGTATTGTCCCAAACGTAGAAAAAAAAATAGATGTAACAATAGTGACTATATCTTTTCATCTCTATAGGAGTCTACAAAAAGCTGGAAGCTCTTTCAAAAAAGAAAAACTGTGAACTAGTTGGGGCATGGGCCCACTCTATTAGCAATCACATTTATTGGTGTGCAGCTTCGAGTGATGGGAATGGAGAGCTGATTCTGGAGAAATGGATCTCCATTTTAAACCATGTAACAGATGTACATGAAGGGCATGGAGAACTATACCCGAGATGCCTTCATGGACCAGTTGATGACAGACAATGGATTAGGAGAGGTATAATGCAAGTGTGGATTAGTTCAAATGATTATGTGTACAATGATTGGATATGCAACTGAACACTATTGTTTATGTAAATATGAACAGCTTAGTTACTTTTGAACATTTAGGCAAAAAATGTAATATATGTGCATGACAAACTAAACACTGGTACAATACAATATATAGAATTTGCATGATTTACTTGCAAAACCTGAATTATTTTGTAAAATCCATGTTAAAACTTCATGTACATTGTACCCTTTCCTTCATTTAGGATCAAAGGCATTCTTAGAACTGGAGACAGTTGTTAGGGGAAGGATGCTGCTGACAGATATTAAGCAACTATCAAATGTTGGCCAAACCTCATGCTTAGAGGCTTATCATAAAGTAGTGTGCTTTTTTTGCACCCAAAGCTGTACACTTCTTTTACATACAGATGCAGGCTCGGTAATATTCTAAGAATTATTGTTAATTTTTTCAAAATAACACGTTCAAAACATACATGTTGAGCATTGAATTTTACTTCAAGGGCTGATAATTTTTAGACCCTTTTAAATTCTTATAATATGAATTTTCTCAACAGGATATACCTAGCAGCTCTGCATTTCAATGAAAATGTAAGCAGACCACAAAGCAGAACAAGGGAGGGGGAGAAGCAGTACAGTGTTTCCTATCCAAAAGGTCGCCATGGAGAGGGTGTTGCAAAGGAAGTTAAAGTTGATCAAACTTTCAGTGAGTAAAGGTTCAGTTCTTATTTCATGATTAAATTTTATTAAAAGCAAAATTGGATTCAGTTTTAATTTAAACCAATTATGTGAAGAAAATATTATCTATGTTTATGATTCAAAATACATCAGTAAATTATTTTATTGAAAATTCCAATTTCCTACAATTTAGATTACATCTCTGACCTGATGGATGCTGTTGTGGATCTGCGCACTGTCAATGACAGCTATACAAAAGCAAGGGAGGCTATGAACTTGCCTAGGAGATTGCCTGAACCACTATCACAGAGCACACCCAAGCCACCAAAACATGTGACAATTCAGAAACATGTCACTCGTTTCAATGATAATTGATACTAAAGGTGTTTTAAAAAAACTGTTCATTCTGAAATCTGTCCAGATTTGGTAAAACACTTCTGATGTGTGTTTTCATCGATATAAACTGAGCTAATAAATGATATATGTATAGTTTAATATGCATTTTTCTCCTCTTTTAAAGTATACATTGTACCCTGCTTGAAAACATGTACATCTGAATTTAGTGACAATTTATATTTTCATTACATCAACTATTTTTCTTCACCGGGGTATCGAAATCCACAATACTGCTGGCTAGGAAACTGTTTTCTGATAGCATCAACAACACATGATGGAAGGATCCTCCTATTGTACCTTCCTAATCGTTTCCAAATAAACCTTGCAAATCGCCTATAGGCAAGGTGTCGATAAAGCCTAAAAGTTAAAAAAAATCACTGAAAATGATATAAAACTTATGGGCATAAAATATATATCTCTGAGAGTGTTCCGATATTGTTTACATTTATGTATTATCAATTTTGCCTGTTTCCTGAACTTACTCATTAACTGGTTCATCATCGCCAATTGGTCCATTGTCCTGCATATACTCATAGTTCGACAACTTCAAAACATGATGATTCAGGCAATTAACAACAAAACTATCATGCTCAGTGATGCACTTCAAGTTCCCTTTATGTACTTTTCTTGCTACATCAGGTATTCCAAAGCAACATTTACACTCTCTTGTCGTTTCCATAATGACACAATTGCTACAACTACACCTGTGTGATAAAATTATCACTTTTGTCAGTCTTAACCAGAATTAGAATAAATGACTTGAAGTCATGGATATAGATCAGATTAAGTGATAAATGTAGAGGCACATTTATAAGAAGTAAGAAAAAACTGGATCAGTGTATTATAAAACAGGTCCAGCACAATACCCTGATACAGGTATATGGCTTGATAAAAGCTATATAGCCTGATCAAAGTCTTACCAATACCTTGATCAAGGTATTTTATGTAATGAAAATTCGATCATTAAAATAAATAAATACCGAAAGTCGAGTTCTGAGTTGTTTTCAGTTAATTCACTTGTGCATATTGTAAAGTACTCAAACGCAAAGAAATCAGTATATTAAAAGCATGTCGTGTGAGGAGGAGTTCTTTTATGCTGTTTTTGTGATACCAGATGGAATGCTTTTTATGCACGAGTGGACACACTGACCAAAAAAAAAAAAACATCTCGACTTGCTGTATTTAAATTTGTTTTTAAGGGTATTTTATTTTAATATTCATTACATAAAATACCTAGATCAAGGTAATGGTAATACACTTTTACAGTTTTATCAACCTATAAACCTTTATCAGGGTATTGTGCTGGACCTGTATAGGCCTTGACCTTTCCTTTATTTAGAGTAATACAGCCTTATAGTCTATAAACACGTTTTCAACTCTTGAACAATTCAAGTATCATTATTTGTGTAGAGGAAATTCTGATCTGGCTGTAGAGCCTCTGTTCTCATATATGGATGCATAGTACTGCTCACTGCTTAGCGTAATATTGTTGTTGTTGCTTTGTTAAAATTGCTTGTAAGAAAATATCAAATATATTTAGTTACCAGTCAGTATTACACGGAAGAACTTCAACAGGGTCGGAATCGTTTTCCTCTTCACTACATTCAGACGAAGATTCTTTGATCTCGTTCGCATTCGCTTTAAAAACAGGTTCAAACTGATAACCTTGTACAACAAACTCAGGATCGTCGTTCACCAACTCCTCAAATGGCTCCATTTTGGAAAAAGCGTCGCTGTTCTTAGCCTTTGTTTTGATTCACAAAATGACAAATTGAAAGTGGTCTCGTGTGACGTCACACGATCGGAAATTCAAGAACGATAATCAGGGAGCGAATTTCTTGAGCAAGTAACTTTGAGCTTTGATCTCTAGTGCATAACGTAATTTAAAAATTGGTGGGATATTTTCAAAGAAGATTTTGAGGTACAAATTTGATATTCATGGGGGGAAAACCCATTGTTAACACTTATCTCCTATGACCTTTAAGGTTTCTATTAGAGATATATTTGAAGGTATATTTTTTTCGATTCATTGTCTTCTGTTTTAAGGCACCTGTAAAGTGCAAAACGAAATAGAAACGAATCGAAACAAACTGAAACGAAACGAAATCTACTAAAACCTATCGAAACAAAACGAAATCAAAATGAAACCTACTGAAACGAAATCAAAATGAAGCCTATCGAAACAAACATAACTATCAAATTGTTTTTCAAATCAAGGTATACAATTACATAGGTGTAACTACATGTAGGCCTTTTCTACTTCAAAAAAAATTTATATAGTTCAAGCACTTTTTATAATAAAATCCAAACACCGATAATATGCGTTAGCATACTATGCATGTATAATTTCAATATGTGTAGCATTTCTGTTAATTTCTAGGTCTTGCTCTTATTTTCAGCCCTTATTCGTCTACATACAACATATTATCTACCAAATTTGATGTATTACATGTAAAGGCTCGTTTATGTTCGAGTCGAAATAAACTCACTGTACTGTTGAATTGCGAATGTCTTTTCGCAAGGACATACACTAAATAATCTGAACCATTTTTTGAATATAAATAAAGGATATGTTCCTTAACTTGAAAAGTGTTGCTGCTTTCTTTAAATCGTGAGCATGACTTCATAAGTACACAAAATATTTGGTAAAAGGCAAACATATTTCGACATCAGCCTATTTACTGGAAATTATAACTATCAAAACGCGAATTCAATTCAAAGCAGCAGCACTTTCCAGAAAGTACAAAGTATGCAGAAACAATTAACAGTTTGAATTTTTAATTTCAACTAGGGTATGCCCTTGCGATATTGAAATTTGTTATTGACCTACATTCCGTGTACCTACTATGCATTCATCACGTGACTGTCCATCGATGGGACCAAACTGCATACAGTACAGAGTAGATTATACTATGCTATTTCCATAAGTATTTAAGTTCTGTGATAATAGAACAGCTGAATAAAAATAAATTAAGTTTTAAGAACAATTCCCATTTTTGCACTTCTATTTTCCGTTGATTTCTCATAGTAAGCCTTAACAGTGCTGCGTATGAAACAGAATATCTGCAAAATCTTTTGCTTCAAAATAAGAAAGTACTTGCTGTGGCCTTCAACTTGACATTTAGATATATCGACGACGTAAATTGTCAATTAACAATTGTTATTTCTATTCTTATGCCGATATGATTTATCCTGGTGAGCTTGAAATAAAAGAGTCGCACACATCTGTTTCATATTTGGATGTTATACTTCAAAAAGACATTAATGGCAATCTAATAACGAAGTTCTATGACGACTTAAACTTTTCTATCGTCATGTTCTCTTACTTATGCCTCAATATACCTTCATCTCCCGCATACAGAGTTTATATATCTCCGTTAATTCAATACACAAGAGCATGTTCACTTATGAACAATTTTTGGAACGAGGTAAATAATTGACAAATAAGTTGATGAAAAAAGAATGTCAGCTGTCTCGCTTTAAGTCATCATTTCGTAAGTTCTATGGTCGATACTATGACCTTGTCAGCAAATTCAATTTATCATTGAGTCAAATGCTGACTGACGTTTTCATACTAGTTGTTATTCCATTATTTATACACTGAATTGACGACGGATTTTTCTATTATTCTCGATCTTGACAAGGAGCACACGGCGGGTGGAACCGTTCGGCAGAGAATGCTTACTCCTCCATGGCACTTGGTCTTAGCTCCGATGTTTTGGAGGACAGACTGTTTGCTCTGCTCCTATTTTGTATTGTTTTTTAGACTTTTGATCTTGAATAATGTTCGTATCTCCATATATTTCATGCACTCTCATAAAAATGTCTTTAAAAATATTCAAAGAGATTGGGGGAACAAACATAAAACAAATGCCTTGTAGTAGTGTAATGCAGTATGTGTGTGAAATTCAACATAAAATATCTACAATTCTATTCTCTATTTAGAAGCATGACATATGACGCTGTTTTACAAAAATAAAATATCACATAGAACACAGGGACAATTACATTTGTTAGGTCATTGACTCCTTTACATAGTTAGGTAGTATTGTCACAGCCACTGGTGGATCTGTGGGAAAAAACAAACCAAGACCAAATCACTAAACATATAGCCCGCAGAAAGTGGCGATGGATGTGACATACCCTCCGAAAACCACCAGGAGACATAACACGCCACTCACTCGAGTGGAACCCACAAGGCAAACGGCGAGTTGGGCGTCCCAGGAAAACTTGGCGAAGGTCATGTGAAAAGGAGATCAGGCAATGTGGAAACACCTGGGAAAAACTGAAAAAGGCTGCCCAAAATAGAGTGCGGTAGAGAACTGTTGCCGAGGCCCTATGTTCCAGCAGGAACCAAAAGGAACCATGAGGTCATTGATCCGGCTTCCATATTCAAAGACCTCGGAACTATTTGAAAGATTTAATATTCAAGGCGACTGGGTCTTCAAATCGTGAACTTTTGCACAACCTTCGTCTTGCATCGTCCAACTTACAAGAAGAAACTGAATTGTCTACAGATTGGTCTGATTTTAACAATTATAACAAGAATTACACGCACGTCGACCAGTCGGCTGGTAATGCTCCTCCATTGAATCTGAACGTAGTTCTGATGTTTCAGTTGCAGTATCGTACACATGTTCAAACCAGTTCAGAATTACCCGACAAAGGACTGGTTGTGGCAATATCTTGAAGCAGTAATGATGGTTTTATGAGTCATATTAAAATTTCTGGTTATTTTTGGCTGAAACTGCCCTAAAATAATCTCCTAGTTCGTCATTTCTTTTTAAATTGAATAAGATCATTACTTCTCAAATTACCAATAGAATACATTGACTCAGAGATGCTTCATCATCAGAATAAGGGAGACAGTAGGATGTTTTGGGTTGTGCGTGTGGCTAAGCTCCGAAAAAAGATTGTCCAAAGTACTTATAAACAGTAATGTGAAATTTAATCACTGAATGGTAAATGGGATCCTTTTGTTCAAAATCCTGGTTAAGGGTACATTTTAGGAAAATGTGCATGTGAGTAGTGAGGAAAAATAATTCTTATCAGTGTTTAAATGTCAGCTTATTTCTGCATTATTTTAGGCATATAAACACTGTAAACCTTTATGCAAGATGTGCACATTTAATACGGCAAGTCTAACTATTCAAACAAACTGCTGTAGGAAGGAGGGGGCTCATCTGTCCAATCTTTTGAATCATCATCATTGAAATTTGAGATCTCATTTAAATTAACTGGGACAATATGGCGTTCTTCCTGCTCTGTATTTCGAGGAGATGGTGGTGATATCGGGGCATTTCTGTGTTCTTCTCTATAAATATTCATCTCGATATTTTCTGTAAGTGACAAGTTCTGCATAGCAGGATCTAATGATATTTGTGTTGTGATATGGTTTTCTGTCTGTCTAGATGCGCGATAACCTAAAAGTTATTTAAAAAAAAACATTTCATTACATTCCTCTGATATGAACGTGATATGAATACCATATGAACTTTACAGAAAACGATTTCTAAAAATCTATATTTAAAGATTGATTTGGGGTCGTAGAAATGAATCAAAACATGCAGAAGTGTGTTTCTTGGTGTAATAAATATCTTTGTATGTCATTGGAGTTTAATACCAAACTCGTGACGTCATATAACTGTTGATCAGTTTTAGGAGAGTGAAAGTGAATCGTAACGAGAATTCATGTAAACAAGTACAAGAAATCGGAATTTAAAAGTCTTATGCATGAATATCATGTGTGATTCATACGGGAATTAAACTGATGAATAAGGTATCCAAATATAATTCTACATTTTGTTTACGTACGATAAAACCAGACATAGTGTGTATTTCCCGATCAGCCTTTCATCTGTCGTTCGTACCAAACAAAACATGTAAATTCAACACTACTCCTCATACTTTTAAAC